TTTGTTAAATTACAATGTGGAGACTCTGCAATAATTTAACAGAAGTGCTTATTTTTCACTTGAAATTTTTTTGTGGTCATTTTTATTAAGATATTTTTTATCGGCAGAGAATAAAATAAAACCTGTCTTCCAATTCATTGCATTTGTGTGTGTGTGTGTGTGGTAGAAGTATCGGCAAGTACTCAGATCCAAGTATCGGTATCGTATCGGTTTGAAAAAATTGGTATCGTTGCATCCCTACAAAAAAACAAAACAAAACAACCCCCCCCCACTTGAACTTCTTAATAGTAAAGTTGTGACAGCAAACTCACCAATAGGATCTTTGGCTGCAACTGGTCTGCAGGGTTTACTGGGATCTCCCAGACCGACTTCATTCTCAGCTCTCACTCTGAACTGGTACTCGTGGTTTGGAATCAGGTTGGTTACTTTCATGCGTCTCTCAGAGATCGGGCTCTTAGTGCAGGGCACCCAGCGCACTGCCCTCTTCTCCTTCCTTTCAAGGATGTAGCCAGTGATCGACTTTCCTCCATCATTCTCAGGAGGAGCCCAGACCACAGTCATCTCATCTTTGCTCACCTTTAATCACAAACAATTATTACAGCTATGTTAATTACTATGTTATAAAAGCTTGAAGTTGTTGAAATGTTAAAATCGAGTAGAGAGTATACAAAAATTTACCTTGGTGACTTCAGGGGCTTCAGGGGGTCCAGGTTTGTTGAACTGAGTCTTGACAGTTATAGGCTTACTCTCCATGGCAGGGCCAGTTCCCATCTTGTTTTCTGCCCTCACTCTGAATATGTATTCATTGCCCTCCACCAAACGAGTGACGTTGCAGTATGGTGTGACCACAGAGGCTGAATACGTGGACCAAACCATCCTCCTGGTTTCACATTTCTCCAGAATGTAGCTGTCCACCTCACAACCTCCATCATCCTCTGGAGCATCCCAAACCACTCTGCACCTGTCAGCTCCAATGCCAGTAATCCTCAGGTTTCTCACTGGGCCGGGAATGTCCAGGACATTAACATTGGCATATGCTGTGAAAGTCCCAGCCGAGTTGGTGGCAGTGATGATGTATTTTCCTGTGTCACTACGCTTGGACTTAGTCATCAGAAATTTTGAGTAGTCTGGGCCAGTTTCATAGCTTATTCTGGGATTGTCTCCAGTAGCCTTATCTTTCATCCATTTAACCTCAGGCTGGGGCTTTCCTCTCAGACCAGCCTCCATCCTGACCGACTCTCCAGCTTTTACTGTCACTGTTCCAGCCAACTTCAGGTCAATGACAGGCTTCTGGATCTCCTCCCTCACCAGAATATCTGCAAGTTTTACCCAGGCACTCTCACCTCCTTCACTGACAGTCTGCACTCTGGATAACAAATTGTAAAAATAAAGGTAAATAAAGGTAGATAGCTGGATAACCCTTACAGAACACAATTTCTGATCCGATAAACACCCAACAAAACAATCAGTAATTACAAATTAGAAATGAAGTGACCTACCTGAAGGTGTATGTCTGATTTTCCACACATTTATCAGCCAAAAAGAAGGTGTCTCTGAGAGTAGTGGTGTTGAGTTTTTCCCACTCCTCCGCATCTTTAGTTTTACACTCCAGGTTGTAGGACAGATGGGGGCTTCCGCCATCATAGTCGGGCTTCCGCCACCTCAAATTGACATAGTTCTTACCAATGTCAATTGCTCTGAAGTTCTCAGGCTCACCGGGCTTTTCAAGAGGGTCAATGGCCAATGTAGGAGTTTTGAGCTCCACGGTGGGTCCTGGTCCCATTTTGTTCTCAGCACAGACACGGAACAGGTACTCATGGCCTTCCATCAGCTTTGCCTTGATCTTACGATTAGTGCAGTGGGAAGAGATCATAGACCACATGCTAATACTAGGCTCTCTGCACTCCACAATGTAGTTGGTGATCTCGGATCCACCATTGTCCTTAGGGCTCTCCCAGTTGATCATGCACGAGTCCTTAGTGACATAGGTCACATTCAGATTCTGGCAGTGGCTGGGTCGGTCTAGAACATTAACTGTGATTGTGCGGGAAGCCTCACCACCTTCATTTGAAGCTTTCAGAATATATTTGCCATGGTCATTCCTTGTAGCTTCCTTGATCCTTAGGTGGACTAAAGGAAGATTCTGCAGGATGGTAACACGTTTGTTGTTCTCTAGAATAGTCTCTTCTTTTGACCAGAAAACTTCAGGATCAGGGCGAGCCTTGATGTAACCAATGACGTTGATGTTGTGTCCAACACGCACAGTAACACAATCTCGACAAGTGGCCTCCATCTCAATCTCTGGAGGTATAAGAATATCCTGAGCAGTGACTGATTCTGGGATTTCTCTTGACTCCCCGTCTCCAATCATGTTTGAAGCAAAGACTCTGAATCTATAGGTCACACCCTCTTCCAGACCCTTCACCCGGTAGGCACACAGCTTGATCAAGTCATCCAGGTTGACTTTTTTCCATTCTTCAGCGCCATCTTTCTTCATCTCCACAGTGTAACCAAGGATTGGGCTGCCTCCATCTTTGGTAGGTTTGGTCCACACCAGGTCAGCAGTGGCCCTGCTGTAATCTTTAACTTTAGGATTGACAGGGGGACTCGGGACAGTGATGGGCCTGCAGGGCTTGCAGGGGTCGGAGATGGGGGAGGGGCCACTATATCCAGCAATATTTTCAGCAAACACTCTGAACTCATACTCGCTGCCCTCGTAGAGGCCCAGGACTCGGTACCTCAGGTCCTTGCAAGGTGTCTTGTTGACACGGATCCACTTTCCTCCCTTGTGTCTGCGCTCAATGATGTAGCCAGTGATCTGACTGCCACCATCAGTTAGGGGCATAGTCCAGCCAAGTGTAACAGCATCCTCTGAGGTCTCATAGGATTGTGGCTTACCAGGTGCACTAGGGGGCATGAATGAGTGCTCAGCAACAGTGGGCTTGCTCTCCAGAGGAGCACCAATGCCCATCTTGTTCTCAGCACGAATGCGAACAACATATTCTACTCCTTTCTGAAGGCGAATGATCCGGAGCTGCGTTGCAAGACTACCAGAACTCACACCTCCCCATGTCTCTTTGTTGGACTCTCTTTTCTCCACAATGTAATTGGTTATAGGGCTCCCACCATCATCTTTAGGAGGACGCCATTCAATCGTCATGGAATCTGGCATGACCTCCAATATGTTGACGGGTCCAATCGGAGCAGCTGGAACATCGAGTACAGTGACATTTAAGGCCACCGTCTTGGTTCCTGCTGGGTTGGACACAGTGAGCAGGTAGGTTCCAGTGTGGTTTCTGGTGCACTCATTAATGCTGAGAACAGTGGAGAAATTATCAGTGTCGATCTTAATGTTGCCCTGGCTGGTGATCTCCTCTCCTTCGATGGTCCACTTGGCAGTTGGGACAGGGATTCCTCTCATTATAGCTGGCAGTCTGATGGTAGTCCCGGCCTTCACAATGATGCCTTCAGTGAGTTTAACATCAACTTCAACAATTGGGGGCACTGTGCAAAAAGAGGTCAAATATGAAACAAAGTTAAATTACTCAAACTTTACCAGTTGGAGCCTTATCAACCGTTTCTTTTTTCGTTAAGATCATCTGCCTCCTCTAATTCTAAGTACTCACTCGAGACACTATCACAGAACACACATCTGCAACACAATTCCTACTCTATAAAGTAAATATCTAATTTCAGGTGAAAACAAACAACTGGAACAATAATTTCATGCTATTAGTTATACGTGAAATCCAATAGGGGTCGTGCAAATACTGTCCTCTGCCCTACCTAGTTTCTCCTGGCAGAGGATAGGCACTGTGGTATCAGGTCTGCTGAGGCCAATGGCATTCTCAGCCCTCACTCTGAAGCGGTAGGTTTTTCCTTCCTCCAGACCAGTCACATGACTCTCAGGGATGCTGACAGTTTTCCATTCATACCACTCTTTCTCTCCCTCTTCTTGATACTCAACCAGAAAGCCTGTGATTTCACTTCCTCCATTGCGATCAGGCCAGTTCCACGCTAACCATACCTCAGTCTTGTCCGCATCATCATGATGCAGGTCTTTGGGAGGACCAGGAGGGACTGGAGGGATGAAAGCAAAATGAGAGCGATTCAGGCTTCAACTACTCA